AAACAATGCATATAAAAATAATTAAATATACACATAAATTAAGGCAAATGGATAGAAATGATCAGTCTTTAAGTATTTTCTAAGTGATGTTTAATAGAACAAGGACATTTTTTCACAGTATTTTCTATATATTGTTTTGTCTGGAGAAAGTCTTATTTCTATTAAATTGGCTGGAAAATATGTTTTTTGTTTGTTTGTTTTTTAAATAATTTAAAGGTCAATTTTATTAGAATTAAAGTTTTTTAATGACTACAGAACAAACCCCTGTTGTCCCATGACCATAATTAAATTTAGTAATGTTCAACTTCATTTGTTTGTTTAAATTCAGTCTGCAAACAGTTAGCTTAAAAAATTTTAGCAAATCCAATGATTACATTTTATCATTGTACTTAAGCCAAGGCATGGGCCAGTAAATGATTCTGATGGTATGATACCTTGGATAAAAAATAAATAAATAAAAATCACGCTCCCACGGAATTGTGAATACTGCTCTAAAATATATCATTTTTAAATGTCTAGGTAAAAAACAATAACATTTTCCCGCTTAGTCCCATAGTACGCTAAAAACACTATGTGAGAGGAGTAATATGTCCGAATTCATAAAAATCGAAAAACAGTATGCAAGATACCCGGAAGACCTACTACTTCCAGTGAGATTCTAAAGTGTGCATCTGATGAATGCTACGCTATCCCATGATGCACCAGGAGAGAATTCATGAATGGGAGTGAAGCAGTGATCATGATAAAATAGCAGATAAAGCATGTCTGATATAATTTATTTTGAAAACCATTTAAAATATTTTAGAACAATAATCATGTCAGGCTTCACAATTTCTTTACAATTTAAAATGGCATCTTTGGATATCTTTTCTGCTGGAAATACTGTCCTACCCATGAATTCATGAATAGCAAAATCATTTTAAAAATATTTACTGTGATCATGGCAAAGACTAAATAAGTAAGTTATTAGAAAATTATTTGTTAAATGACATTTACATACATACATACACAAAAAAAAAAAAAAAAAAAAAAATATATATATATATATATATATATATATATATATATATATATATATATATATATATATATATATATATATATATATATATATATATATATATATATATATATATAATTTTTTTCATGTGCTTTTCCTTGCCTGAGACTTTGTGACTTTTTAGTAACATTACTAACTTCTGATACTAGTACATTACTTATGGATGGTATGTTTCCTTTATTATCTTATTGTTTCCTTACCTCCATCTAGATATTGATTTATTTTTAAGGATTACTATAATTTCTTTATTATTATTTTGCCCTCTAAAAATCTTGTTTTTATTTATTTGGTAATTATAAATTTAACCTTTTTGCTACTATTGTTTATGATTTAATTTTGCAGTACATTTGGACTATAACCCATTGGACATTTTTTTAAACTTCTCTGTTTATATGTCTGAAAGTACATTGTACATTAATTTTGATAACCTTAAACATATCACATTTATTATTATTATTATTAAAACTATAAATGTTATTATAACTATGTGCTTAAAAAATGTTGACAAAAATATTCACCCCATTAAACATCACTTGGGAAATATGTGAATTTCAATTTCACAGAAGGGTTAATAATATTGGCTTCAATTATATTCAAATCCATGTTCCACCCAAAGCAACGAATAGTATTGAACTGGCGTCTGAAATATAGCTCTGCAGCAGACTGACATTAGTGTTACATTACAAGTTATCCCTAATCAATGCAGTGGAACAGAGAAGTCTGATGCATCACAGTACTTTACTTGTTTATTTCAAGGCATCATGGCAGCAAGCAGAGAAGCGGGTGGAGGGATTTCAATATTCTACGTGTGTATTGTCTCGCTGATCTGATTAATCCTTTCTCTCAGTGTGCCAGGAGAGAGCTGACCCATCTTTGCATGATGCCCTGTAACTTTAATTCCTCTGGTGCAACGGTGCCCTACATACTGGCATTTATCCAAATGACAAAGACTCGCCAATCATACCGCAGACTAAACACCATAGTGCAATCATTGACACTGTAAAAAGTTCAGCGCCTGATTTTAAAAAATGGGTTAGAGTGCAAAGAAAGAGAAGCTGTTTAAATATCTATCATACTCTATCGTGTGTTTTATATGAATATTACTTGTTGTAAATGAACTAAGTGGTGCCTGTCTTTAATAAGTAATAAAAACAGTAATACTGGTAAAGTAAATTAGTAATAAAATGATTTAATTTAACCATAAACAGGAATATAGGACTACTTGTAAGACAAAAAAAAGTGTTAATGGAAAATGGTCAAGCAATGCCATTTATTAATAGACTGTACATATCTAATAACTGTTAATCAAATTTAGTCTTTAATCAATAGACCTGACATTTAGAATTATACAACCAATATGTATAATAGGGCTAGGCGGATAAATGATATATCAAATTGCAATAAAATTTTAGTCAATAACAATGATAAGCTCTGGAGTTTCTTACTCTATATTGATCTAAGAGCCAATCACACAGTAGAAATGTGCAACCATGGGAATCTGAAAGTGTGTTGATATTAGAAATGCACCCATTTCTAAAATGCACGCATTTCCGGCCGCCAAATATTAATCGCCCACCTGAAATAGTTTATGCAATTAAATGGACCCTCTAATTTTGTGGCTTCAGTCATTGTTGGAATACACTTTTAAATACAGCAGCAACAACTGATATCAAAATATATCATTATTGTTCAATTTGGAAAATAATTAATCAAGATTGCATTTTTGCTATATCACCCAGCCCTAATGTATAAAATGATAGACAGACAGACAGACAGACTGATAGTTGGTTGAACAATCAATAGACTAAAACAGATGTTTAAAACAAAACAAAAAATGGCAAGTTTTCAAATATCTACAAATAATTATGATCTGAACAAATCATGTATCATTAGACGAGACCTAGCATTTAAGAATATGTTACTGACAGAATGATAGACTGACAGACAGATGGAACAATAAAACAATCAATAAACACATATAGCAGATGCTGGAACAAAAACATCAAGATGAAATCATTATAGAGCTGGTTTGGAAAGGGTTTTAGGAACATATTACAATTTAAGTAGTCAAATAATGACATCAATCCACATATCCAGCTTGATAAAGTCTAGTGCCAACATTTTAATGTTTTCAAGTGATGTTTACCAGAGCAGGAACATTTTTCACAGTATTTCCTTTAATGTTTTTTCTCTTCCTGAGAAAATCCTTTTTTATTTAGTTTGGCTGGAATAAAATTTGAAATAATTTTATTTGTCCCCTTAAGAAACATTTCGTTTTATTTCGATTGGCTACAGAACAAACCACTGTTGTCCAATGACATGCCTAATTAAGTCAATTATTCTAATTTAGTCTTTTAATTGCACTTTAAGCCGAGTAGGCAACTAGTATTTAGCCAAATGGCTAATAACATTCTGTGCTGTCATCATGGCAGAGAATAGCTATTGGAGTCAATAAAACTATTGTGTTTATAAATGTGTAAAGAAAAATGGTCAAGTAATCAAACAATCAGTAAGTAGACTAAAACAGATATTTAAAACAAAAACTGGTGCAAAAAAATATTAACGGATCAAATCATGTATCATTAGACGAGACCTAACATTTAAGAATAAGTTACTGACAGAATGCCAGACAGATGGAACAATAAAACAATCAATAAGCAGATAGAGCAGATGCTGAAACAAAAAGAACCAGGTAAAATCATAACAGAGCTGGTTTAGAAAGGATTTCAGGAACATATTACAATTTAAGCAGCAAAAATTATTACAAACATGATAACTGTCTATTAATAACACTTATACACATAACCAACAGATCGATAAAGTCTAGTGCAAGGGTGGCCAAACTTTTTCTTAAGAAGGGCCAAAAACCAAACTTGATTAAGGGTAGTGGGCCGAAGTTAAATAATCCAACTGGATTACAATAAAGTCCCCATGATGATTTCATTCATTTTCTTTTTGGCTTAGTCCCTTTATTAATCCAGGGTCGCCACAGTGGAATGAAATACCAAATTATCCAGCACGTTTTTTACGCAGCAGATGCCTTTTCAACCTCAACCCATCTCTGGGAAAACCATGATGATTTCCTAAATTAATATTTTAAATATGTAATTTATATTTCAATTTAATATTTACAAAAGAATGACATTTGTATTTGTAGAATGTAAATTTTTTTGCATGTACAAAATAATAATCTGATTCATTCACAATATTTAACTGAAACATTCAATTTCAGACTGTGTTTTTCTAACTCAACAATTAAACAAACAAAAGGTTATGTTCAACCTGAAATGATGATCTTTTTAAAAGGTATTTTGCCCAACCTTCCTTATCATTCTCAGATAGGATGGCGGGCCAAATCAAAGGTTACCATGGGCCAATTTTAGCCCACAGGCTCTAGTTTGGGCATCTCTGGTCTGGTGCCTAAATTCATTTTTTTAAGTAATGTTTAACAGAGCAGGGACAATTTTCACAGTATTTACAATGTTTTTCTTCCCGGGAGAGTCTTATTTCCTTTCATTCGGCTGAAATAAAAGCTAAAATAATTTAATTTTGTCCCCTTAAGAAACGCTTTTTCGATTGGCTACAAAACAAACCACTGTTGTCCAATGACTTGCCTAACCCAATTAGGCCTAATCAACCCAATTATCCTAATTATTTCTTTAAATTGCACTTTAAGCTGAGTAGGCTACTATTTAGCAAAATGGCTAATAACATTATTTACTTTCAGCATGGCACGGAGAATAGTTATTGAGTTTAGTTATTAAAACTAACGTGTTTATACACGTATAGAGAAAAATATATTATCTATACATATGAAAAAAAGTTGCATTTTCCCAGAAGGACTAATAATTTTGGTCTTCAACTGTAAGTTATAGCCAGTGTCCTTGATCAACACAATTCACAGACAACATGAAAACCCGCTATCGGTGGCCATACATACCTGGTTGGGATCACATGCTTTAAACACATGGCATGCCATCTCAGACTCTGGGTTCTCAGGCTGACTTCTGATAAGGTAGGCAAAATAAGACAAGTCATGGCTGTTATGAATAAACCTGGATATAAACTGTGCTTTGTGCTCGAATATGAAGACGGACGGGTTGCTGCTGCTCGCGGGCACGCAGCGGATCAGAGGGGGCGAGAGATGCAGCTGAACTTCCCTGGCCTGTGTGGGACCGGACTCGTTCTTCTCACTTTTCCTCCGGATCTCCGCCACAAGCCACGGCAGCATGGGTAGCGTGGTCCGCCTGTCCAGAGCCGACCAGCCCATGTACCACAGCGCAAACCTCTTGTCTTCTTTCCGATTACAGTCATTATTCCCTTTGCCGTCCTGTCCCTCCATCTCTCCAAGGACTCCGGGACAAAGACTTTAGTTGCTTTGTGCAACAACTCGGTGCCTTTACACCCCTAATAGCTCAAACAAATACATGAACTGGTCGGTTCTATGTGAAAGCAGCTGCAAACTGTCCTGGTGCGTTAATGCTACTCACGCTTTAGTCAAAAGTGCGTAAGGATCGTGTGTCCTGAAGAGCTTAAGTACAATAATAAAGGCTTTTAAGATGCAACGAGGTTTTATTCCAAGGTCAGATCGCTGTTTAAAGCTAAAACACATCCGTTCAGATTGTTTAAGAGCCCTCGTAATCCGTGTATTAAGTTAAAGGTTTCTGTCGAGAGTATGAATACACAACTGCTTGAAGGAAGCGCGTTTTGTATTCCAGCAGATTTCTCGAGTCCCGACGCCGCGGATTGAGGACGACGCCGCGGACAGACACCTCATGCGGGAAGTTGCAGATAAGCCGGAGTGCTTTAAAGTCGCTGCACATCACTTTTTAGTCGTTATTGTGTCATTTAACGGCGGAGGAGAACACAGAGAGGGCTGTTGTTCCAGGAGGAGTGGCCGCAGCAGCCATACGAGAGGCGTTTTACTTGAGCACGAGCGTGAGCGTGAGCGCGCGTGTATATGTGCGTGTGTGTGTTTGGATCTTGGGCTCCCCTGTGTCTTCAGGAAACACAGGGCACTGGCCTGATTGAGCTTTCATCAAGGCAACTTAATGGATGATCGGGATAAAGTGACTTTTTTAAATATTTTATCATTTTGAATGTCAGTTGTCAATAGGGTGCATAACATATAGGCACATACAGTGCTCAGAATATTGAATGAATATCTTGAGCCATTTCTCAGTGAATGTAGGCAATGTATTTTGTTGCATTTAAGCAAAACAGATTTATTAAACAGATATAGCCTAATTATTAAAATAATTTTTTAGTCACCAAACATATTTAGAAACTGAAAGAAAATACAATTAAATTCAAGCTAAATATTGCAAAAAATACAACCTACAAAATTTCAACTAAATTTGTTTTTTTTTTTTTTTTGCTTCTCATGATTTTCTCTTTTTAAGAACATTTGTATTTAATATTTTTCTAACATATAAATCTGGGTGTAGTAGTTTTTGTACCTTTATCACAAGTGTTTTTGTTAGATAAGCTCCAGATTCGGCTTCAGAATTGACTAATCTAATGTATATTCACAAATATAATAATGTAAAGCATCATATAGAAAATATGAATTTAAAAGATAGATTTGTGAAGGGTGCACTTATATATGCTGAGCACTATATATGCTGTAACTTGAGTTATTTAAAATGTATTTGACAAATGCAGAAGGTTAAATGGATGGTTTACCCCAAAAATTCAAGTTCTGCCATTTTATCTGCCTTTTACTCCTTCACTTGTTTCAAACCTTTTAATTTCTTTTTTTCTGTTAAACCTAAATGAAGAAATATTCTGAAGAAAGCTAGAAGAAAGTATCTCACAAAGGTTTAAAACCACTAGAGGGTGAGTGAAGTTTCATTTTGGGTGAAGTAACCCTTTAAGGTTTTTATATGCATATACATTTGCATACTAATAATGTTTTTTTTTTTTTTTTTTTTTACAAAAACTAACTTTTCTATGGTTTTAAAAATGTTTCTAACTACTACAAGAGACAATTTTTTTTTTTTTTTTTTAATTTTTCCTTAACTTAATTCATTGGAAATTCTAAATAACCAATCAAGCGCTATATGGGAGTAAAATATACACTGGTTTTAGTCTCACAAATAACTCTTTATTTGTTTTTATTTTAATTCAGTATTAAATTTTGTATTAAAAAAATGTAACATGAGCCAAACTTCAAGTTTGATATGAGTTTTAAAAATCTGTAAGACATAGAAAAATATACAATGCACTAATAATAATACCATAATAATAATGGCATAATAATACATTAATAGTGTATATTTTTGAAAAGAAAAAAAATTGTCATGTGTGCTAAAATGTAAGTTTTTTTTTTATTTTGCCTTGATTTACATAGCCCTTGTCGTAAAGTTCTGCTACAGTCAGCTTTGATATTGATTTTATTTAATAACCAATCCAACAATTGCCAGTAAACTCAAAATAGTTTTAGATAGCTGTTAAAGACAAGGAAAACTTCAAGTGGGGTCAGAGCAACCAGGCATGCAGTGCTCAGCATAAATGAGTACACCCCATTTTGAAAATGAATATTTTTATCCATTTCTCAGTGAATATGGGTAATATATATGGGTGCATTTGATCAAAACAGATTAAACCTATATTTATTAAAACAATAGTTTAGTCGCAGAACATCTTTAGAAATAAAAAGATAATACATTTAAATTCATGCAAAATATTGCAAAAAAAAAAAAAACATTTCAACAAAATTGTATATAAAATTTTTTATATTTTTCCCTAAAATATAAATTTGGGCTACACATTTTTAAACCATTATTGTAAGTTATTTTGTTAGATTAGCTCCAGATTTAGATTAGCTACAGACTAAACTAATGTATAGGCACAAATATAATATTGTAAAGCATCCTATAGAAAATATGAATTGAAATGAGAGATTTGTGAGGGGTGTACACGTGCATGCTGAGCACTGTATCCGTGGACCAAACAATCTTCACATTTCTAGTAAACAAAGGAAGAGGTTTGGGTGTGTTTAAGAAGTATACTTGTAAACTTGTAAGTTTCAAAGTTATATAAAACAAGTAAAGGTTAGTTTAAGCAATATTTGTTAAAAATATGAAATATCACATGTATTTAATTATACTGTAAAATTATTACACAAATCAAGTTTGCTGCACAAGAATCTGTAGAAAAATGAATCTGTATAACCTACTCAACAGCGTCCTCTGTTGTCTTTAATGGATAGACATCAATGTTAAACATCAATGTCAAACATTCATCAATGTTTATTTTCAGAATTTAATAATGACAGTGCATTCACTGTATGCAGGTTAAATTGTCTATCCTTTAAATAGTTTTAATAACTCAGCTACATTAAAAATATATAATAATTATATATCCAATTAAAAATATAACAAATAATTCCTAAAGACATTGATAAAAATCAGTATTAATAAAATATACGTGATTTTATAATAATAAACAAGAAAACAGAAAAACAGAAAAAGTAAGCTTTTGCATTACCATACCATTTTTAATAGTAACTTTCAAGAGCATTTTACCTTGATATGTTAACCGTGAATATATGTTTATATGTTAAAATTTAAATACCTTTTAAATGTTGTTATTTGTCCAAGACAGCAGGGTTTACACACACATACATACACACACACACACACACACACACACACACACACACACACACACACACACACACACACAAATCAAAATAATATTAAACAGTCTCTAAAACGGAGGCCATTTCCTTGAACTGCCTGTAGAAGTTCTGAGGGACAAAGACAACAGAAAAGAAATAGTCAATTTCAGAAGTTCAGCTGGATTAAAATAAGGAAACCGCAAGCTTCCATACCTGAAACTGTGGAACTGTCATCTCGAATGATTTATATGACACTTCGCCTGACGTGTCTGCGATTTTCATGAGAACAGAAATGATTGGGGAGTTGAGGGATCGACAGGTATCTGAGCTTACAGCCATGCCAAGTTTCCACTGGATATCTACAAGCTGACAGTGAAGAATTTTTGATATCAACAACCTGAGAACTGAAAAACTGAAGAAAAAGCAAGCAAAAAAAAATCAAGAATCATGTGACACACCTGCCCAATACTAGCCATTGCCAAGAGATCCTCATGTGCCTGTAAAAGAGCACCGTGTTCCGTCCAAAGCTGCTGCACCAGTTGCAGGGTCGCTTTGGACCATTTACTGCTGCATTTTGACAAATTACTGACCAGAACGTCCGCACTGAGATTGCTCTTAGCAGCTAACCTGCATTAATAAACATGTATCATACATTTATCAACAGGCAGGAATTACATCACATAACAAAATAAAAATGTTACTAATTCTAGATTTTTTTTAACCATCAGAAATAAAATACTGTACCTAAAATAGTGTGACATCAGTCTTATAATATCTTGAACAGCTTTCTGATCAAGGTTTATCCCAGCTCTTTGATATTTCTGGTATTTGGGAAATAGAAGCGTTAAAATATTAGACATAAAAACAGATACATATATTTTTTAGTTTATAATAAGCACTATTAGACATAAAAACAGATAGATATATTTTTTAGTTTATAAAACATTTCCAGGAATGTGATTTTGTGCACTTACATCACAAGTTTCAATCAAATCTACTGCTCTGTTTTGATCCTGAAGATGAACCAGGATCGTCTGAAGCTGGGAAATTAAAAGATTAGCAGAGGAATTAGAAAAGAGTCATAATCGAATTAACATTTTAATACAACATGTTAAAACTGAACATACATTAATTAAACTACATACAAATATCTATATTTCATTTTTTAGGTATAAACATTCATTTTCCTTCGGCTTAGTCCCTTTATAAATCAGGGGTTGCCACAGCAGAATGAACTGCCAACTATTCCGGCATATGTTTTATATCAGGAATGTCTAAACTTGTTCCTGGAGGGCCGGTGTCCTGCAGATTTTAGCTCCAGCTTGCCTCAACACACCTGCACAAGCCTAGTAAAGCTGTGTCACACTGCACTTTTCTTCCCATAGACTTTCATTCATACACACGCAAATGTGTCAGACCGGAAATGCAAGTTCATGCATCAAGTTTCGCAGTTCACTGCGTTGCAAAGTTCAAGCTTGTTGAACTCTGACCTGCGAAATCGCATCACTTGACTGCGTGAGACCAATCGAGGATCAAAACATGACCTCTCAGGACAGAAATTTAAAATATGAAGCAATCGCTCGCTTTTATTAATGTCTAATCATATTGTTTAACCCAGCCCCCTTTCGCAGCGCCGTGCAACAGAATTTCACACGCTCAAACTCTAGTGTGACCACAGCTTAAAAGTTGAGCTCAGGTGTGTCTGATTGGGTCGGAACTAAACTTTGCAGGACACTGGACCACCAGGACCGAGTTCGTGCATTCATTTTTTTATACAGAGGATTAAGTACAGACATTTTATTTTCATTAATCATATCCACCAACGCACAAACTTACAGTTTCTGCAATCATATCCGCAGGGAGTTTTTCAATTTGTTCAACCACATTATCTGCACCTGCAATAAAATATGCAAAAGATAACAATTGTTTAAATTACTACACTTAGTAATGCCAGTCATAAATGTTTTTGTACTAGTGACATTTTTTTTTGTGTGGAAAGTAAAGACGCATCTAGCATTACGATGTAAGCATGGGGCGATATAAGATTATATGATATCATATGATTATATGATAACCTTAATTGGATAAAAATATCATGGTTTCACCGTATCACAGTATTGTGATTACTGCTACAATATCTTCCTTTTAAATACATGGGTAAGAAACTAAAACTTTCCCCCCTTTGAACACAAATCATTTTAAAAACATTTTATTTTAAGAAACTTTTAAAATATTTCGAAGCAGTAAACGTCAGGCAAAATAATTCAAATGAATCATTGACTTCTGCTGTCTTCATTAGTTTCAAAAACACAGATTTCTTATATTTTCTTCTAGAGATACCGTTGTCCTAAAAAATTTTTTTTTTTAAATCTTACATATACCAAAGGAATGTTACAGCAGAAAATTTTGGCAGTTCTAGGACCTTGACTTTTCCAAACCGCAGTATACCTTGAATTCCAGAGTCATGAATGTGACATTTGAAGTAAAATCTCTAAACATAAACTCATTGAGAAAGTATCCAGTTGAAGTCAGAGTTATCAGCCCCCCTATTTATTTTTTCCCTGATTTTTGTATGACAGAGTTTTTTTAACACATTTCTAAACATAATAGTTTTAATATCTCACTTCTAATAACTAATTTATTTTATCTTTGCCATGATGACCGTAAATAATATTTTACTAGATATTTTTCAAGACACTTCTAAACAGCTTAAAGAGACATTTAAATGTTTAACTAGGTTAATTAGGTTAACTAGGCAGGTTAGGGTAATTAGGCAAGTTATTGTATAATAATGGTTTGTTCTGTAGACTATCGAGAAAAATGTATAGCTTAAAGGAGCTAAAAATTGACCCTAAAATGGCTTTTAGATAATTAATTAAAAACTGCTTTTATTCTAGCCAAAATAAAACAAATAAGACTTGCTCCAGAAGAAAAAAATATTATCAGACATACTGTCAAAATTTCCTTGCTCTGTTAAACATCATTTGGAAAAAAAATAAAAAATGATTAGTTGTATATGTTACATTATATAAATTAGAATTTTAAAAAAAATTTTGAAGGGAGGCTAATAATTCTGACTTCAACTGAATGTTAATATTATATTGAAACATTTGTTTATATTTTCCAAAGCAACCAACCACAGAGTTATGGGATCAGAAAAATATCAATCTGTAAACAATTTTTAGATTTTAAATGAGAAAAATAAAATAGCTTCATGAATGCGAGCAAAAAAGTCTGCTAGTTTACAGTATAAGACATACTTTATAGAAATTCTGTGAATTAAACTGCACAACCCAAAAGAAGCAATGCTAATCAAAAGGATAATGGTTGCTCTCTATAGAACAAAAATTATTGATTTTATTTAACATTTTTTGCATTTTGAGGAAAAAAACTTTGTTAGGGATGTTTGTTAGTTTTTTTTTTAATTTTTGCAAGTTTGAGTATTTTTACAGTAAAATACAAGTCTACATAAAAAAACCTAGAAAGGGTTTCGCTATTTTTTTTACTTTTGCATGGAATTGCTCAATTGAAGTTTTATATTTTGTCAAAGCAGATATTTATGCAAAAATAAAACATACTTATTCATATAGCCTCATTATATAAATGTTTTAAAAACGTACTGCTGACAAAGAAGTAAAATCTAGTGGTTTAAATGAAAGCGACAAAAATCAAATTTAATAAATAAATACAATAAATGCTTTCCTTGTTAATTGTTACATTTTGCAAAAAAAAAAAAAAAAACAATTACATTAGCAACAATTAAATAATAAATAAAACAATAATTAAATAATCAACATAGTGGTATAAATCATAGTATGGGGAGGGGAATGTAAAGTTGCATATTTATTGTATTTTTTTATTCTCGAAACCCCTTTTTATTTGTTTACAAACTATGAATGTATAATCCTTTGTAAAATAATGAACTTTGTAACATGAATATGAAAGTAATTTCCTTTTCATAACTAACGTTAAAGAATTCCGTAGAAATATCATTAATCGCCTAATTCCCTGTTTAACAATGCAAATCTGCTATAAACGGTCTGTATAGTATAAAGAGCTGAAGGAGTTGACTGCAGTAACGTTAAATCACATGCCGTAAAAAAGGAAGAAAGCAGAAATAAATTCTCCTTACCAGTTGACAGCTCCAGATCTAACATCTTCTTCTACCGGAATATTTACAATAAGACAACTAAATTAATAAATAGACAAACATGTATTCAAGAGATATTGAAGAGAGTATTTCGGATGTTTTACAGCATAGAACAATAATTTTCATCCAACTGTTTATTCACTTCAGCAGAAAGGAAAAGTAACCGACCGGAAGTGGAGTAATTCATTGACATTTTCTTTCAAAATAATAGTTCGATGTTGGTCTGGTGGTACCATCAGGAAAGATTAAAACACATGGAACATATTTAAATAATTTCCTTTGACTTCTTCTAAATTTGCAATTAAACAAAAGGGGAAAACACCCAGCATTATGGTTTATATGATGTTTCTTAAAATAAGTTGTGCTTTGGGAGTCAAAATGAGACATCCAAAATTGGTTTCGACATCAAATAAAAATTCAAAAAATGTAATTAATAAATTGATTTTGATTGATTGAATGATTTAATTGATAAAAACATATTGATTGTAAGTGTCTATATATTTATTCAAATTATATTTGTGAAAATTGTCGAAACAATCTTACACTGTAATTGAGCATTCAACATTTTCCTTCTGTGCTGTACTTATAATATAGAAAGTAATATCCTATTAAAATTTAAATGATTAAAAAGCTATTAAGTTAAACATAGTGTTGTGCAAAGATTAAATGTGATTAATCTCATCCAAAATAAAAAAATAAAAAGTGTGTGTGTGTGTGTGTGTGTGTGTGTGTGTGTGTGTGTGTGTGTGTGTGTGTGTGCTGTGCATATTTATTTTGAATTTATGCATGAATACATATAATTGCAAAAATGTTTATATCAACTTTTTTGTGTATAGTCTTTGTTTATATTTAGATATAACATATAAATGTATATAATAAAAAATTTACATATTTAAACATATATGTGACAAAAAAGTTGTTCTGTGTATGTGTGTGAATCACATATACATAACAAATGTATAAAAAAACACATTATGTCAAAATGGATGAGATCAATTATGATTATTCTTTGCTTAGCACTAGATAAAAGCTAAAATCTAAAAGCTATAAAGCCTCACATTATGTACTTTCTTCATCCCTACAACTGTACACAGAATGATCATTCATTCATTTATTTTCCTTTGGCTTCTGTCCCTTTATTCATCAGGGGTCCCCACAGTGGAATGAATCGCCAACTTATCCAGCATATATTTTACGCAGCAGTTGCCCTTTCCGTTGTAATCCAGTACTGGGAAACACCCATACACACTCATTCATAGGCATGCACTACATTCAGTTTAATTTATTCAATTCACCTATAGAGCATTTCTTTGAACTGTGGGGGAAACTGAAGCACCCGGAGGAAACCCACAAAATGCCACCTGACCCAGCCGAGGCTCGAACCAGCGACCTTCTTGCTATGAAGCGAGAGCGCTACCGACTGCACCACCGTGCATGTTATAATTAAAATTATTAATTACATCTTTTATTAATTAATCTAACGCTATTTATTATTATTATTATTATTATTATTATTATTATTATTATTATTATTATTATTATCTTCATGACTCAAACTCATTCTTTAAGCTCTTATTTTGAAAAAACCGTTTTCGAGTCGTTCCGGATGTTGCACTCACACCCTCTGGAAGTTTTGTATCGTCGCGGGTTGGATGTTCGAGGATGGCGGCGCAAACAGAGAGAGGGATTCTCCTCAGTGCGGTACGAAGGCTTATTACATCTCTTATTACAACCTGACACGTGTAATTAACGCATAGCAGTAGGCACAATGTTAACAGACGATATACTGAAAAGTTATTCGCGAGAATTTCCCGCACTGTTAGCATTGTCAAGTTGACGGGTTACATGCCATTTTAAATTCCCTATGCGTTTGCTCTTGACGTACAACAATTAATGTTACTAGCGTGTGTGAAACTATATGTTGTCATTTTTACTGCATTTGTTTTCCTGTGACGCGTGTCTGTTGACCTATCAAAATGCTCAGAAATTTAAATTTGACTTTCAGTTTTGTTTCTCTGTCAGTGAGATTTGTCTAATCGAGACTGAGTCGAGCTTTTTTTCTTAATAGTTTAAACCCCGACTTTCGCGCGTCTTTAAACTTTGTCTATCGCAGTGTAAACATGCCCCCAGTCTGATGTGTAACTTACAATTAATATAGATGAAAAACAGCGGCTCCGTTTGGGCATAAACGGAATGATGCATAGAAACTTTCATAACTTTGTGAAAGGACAAGGTGAGTAACGCCAGTCATTTGAATGTGACTCAGGTCAGATGAATGAGTGATGTCATATTTCATCTTCTCTTGATGTGTTATTAAATATTACAAAGAGGATGATGCTGGTTGATTGCACAGTTTATTAATACTAGTACTAGTTTATTTTATTCATACAAGAATATAACATGATCGGTTAAAGCAGTCCGGTGTAATTCTTTCAATTCCTCTGAAATATCATATTTAATGCACACATGAGAATGACTACTAAACACACAAACTTGGCCCTCCTTGTAAATCTAGAGTTCTAAACAATTATAGAATGATTGGAATACTCATTAATTGTTGTCATTTAAAAAGAAAAGTCATCATTTACTCACCCTCATGTCATTCAAAAACCAAATCAAAAGATCTGATATTTTTAATCTAAGAGATTTCTGTTGTTAAGTCAAAACGTTCAAGATTCAAAATGTTCAGAAGTACTTTAAAATCCTCAAGTGGTTTAGCCACAATTTAATCAGAGTCTTGTGAAGGAATACTGTTACACTTATTAGAAAACTATAAAACATTGTGTTTTCAAGTTGTATCTTTTTCTTTATTGTATTTATCTATGCTTGTAGGTTGTTTATTATAATTTATGCCGTTTAAAATAATACATTTTTTTCCCAAATAGAGTTATTCAAGTCATCTGGTGAAATTGTATTCATATTGCAATATACAGTATATCGCAGAACAACAAAATATTGTGATGTTAGATTTTTCCAATATCTAGCAGCCCTACAGTAGATGTAGGAATGGATTTAAAATGTTTAATTTTAACATTTTTCTTCAGCTCACTCCATTTATTCATTAGGGGTCACCACAACGTAATGAACCGCCAACCTATCCAGCATATGTTTTACACAACATGTGCCCTTCAGCTGCAACTCCGTTTATTCAGTTCACCTATAGCCCATGTCTTTGGACTGTGGGGGAAAGCGATACACCCGAAGGAATAACCCACCCCAACACAGCGAGAAAATGCAACTCTACACATATATGCCAGCCGACCCAGCCTGGACTTGAACCAGCAACCTTCTTGCTGTGAGGCTACAGTGCTAACCACTGAGCCACCGTGTCGCCTCAATTTAATTCTTGTTAACAAAAATCCCCTGCTATATTGAACTTCTTTTAAGCATTGTCACACCCTTCTCTAATTTGAAATGTAAATAAACCACACATCTTACATATTACAATATGAAAAACTCTTTAAGTAGAGGCATTCTGTATGTATTTTTCAAGACTCTGTTATTTTTTGGAAAAATGGTGCATTGATGTGCATTTCCAGGTTTAATGTGGTTTGAAAAATAAGTTTGACCTTATGGTAGGTGTGTCATAAAAATATTAAAAGTCCTCTGAGTAATGGTGCTGTATATTTATGTGGCTTTTTAAAACAAGGCTCACCTGAATGTTATATGCAGTAAAATGTTTCTTGATAAATAAATTGCTTGTTTATTTTTATAATAGCTCAGAAATATAAAGAATATTGCAAATGTAAGTCAGACTATATGCACATTCCTGCAATAAAGATTTCTAAAGCAATCCATGCATTCATAAAATGTATTTTAGGTTGCTGCCTATTAAGTTTTCTGTGTCTTTAACTCTTTTATAGCTTAATCCAAAGTTCCTTCACACCAACTCCACCAGCCACACCTGGCCCTTCAGTGCCATTGCAGAGCTGATAGGTGAGCGGACACTTCTGATAGCACTCTTTGTTACAACATTGGGTGTGTTCCCTCAACTGTATGATGTCTATGTATTTGTAACATAGTTTCACACTTAATTGTATTGTATCTCATGTATTGCTGAAAGACATTTAGATTTGAAGTATTGTCAGGCTCAGTTAAGGAAGTGAAAGTCTTAAGTTTTGCTTCATTTGTTCATATTTTAAATCTATAATTTTTTTTCATCAGACAATGCTTATGACCCAGACGTGAGTGCTAAACAGTTTTGGATTGATAAGACAGCAATCAGAGGTGAAGACTGTCTAATTTTCATGGATAATGGATCAGGAATGGATAATGATAAGATGTTCAAAATGCTCAGGTGGGTAATATTGAAAACCAGCAAGTTGAAAACATTTTGGTGACATGTTTGGAGAAACTCCTGACACGAATATATTTGAGAAATATATATTTTCCCATATACCTTTGACATATATCTTGTATCTTTTTCAACCTTAAATGTACTTAAGTGACCAAGTGAAATGAAAGTGACATGTTGCCCTGTGAGAAACCTGAAGTGATAACAATATGTAAGGAAAGTATTAGATTCAGAAGCACGTTGTGTACTATATAATAAGAGGTTTATTGATAGCAAAATTTCTAAATCCCTCGTAGCCCTCTACTCTTCAGATTTTGCTAGCCCAAACTAAATACAAGTAGCTCCAGACTGAAAAGACATTATTTGCTCAATAAAAAGGAATGCTTACATTTACTAGATAGAAAAGTTATAAAGGCATTTGTTTTAGGCTACACATTTTTATTTATAATTTGTAGCATAAAAATAATATGGGATTACAGTCATATTATTGTAGTTTCACCGTCTTTGCTCATATTCTGAATAACTCCATTCAGCCTCATTGGATCCACTGCCACATCCATTCATTTATGATATAACAATCATTACTTAGATTTTTACATTGTATGCCACTTTTATGCAAACACACTGAGTTCATCTTGTGTGTAAGCTCATATGCACAGAGAAAGACACAGAGAAAGCTTGTCCAAAAGAGAAATCCATCATTTTCGTTTTGTTTCTAATGTTTATTAGAGTGTTAATTCGGTCTTGTATCTTGCTTTTCACATGTGTGTGTATTTTAGGCTCATACACACCAACTATAAATATGTGTGGGACTGTTAAGTGCCTCAAGTTTTTTCTTCTTGTCTGTCTTACTTTTCACCTTACCTGGAAAGAACATATTTACTTCATCTACTGATCACAATACAGCCATGTTAATGCGACAGTTGATGAAAATAATCCTTGACTTTTGACTTTACCAATTATTTAGGTGTCTGTCATGTGTAGAAAATCCAATAATGCTTGTAGTGACAATTCCCTCCAGCCAAACAGTATCTACAGCGTTTACACATCATATTTTAGTAATGGTACGGCTCACTTTAAAACATTAGCTGAGGTGGTGCTTAATATTCAGTGGAAAACACTCAAAGGTGAGGCAAACTAAACCCTGCTATACCATGTAGTGATCTTTAGAGAAACAGAATGAGGCATCAGTTTACTGTCAGGGGTTGTTGTGTTGTTTTCATCTAACTCAATTTCGATGCTCATGAATATGTATTAATGTTGAATTTGATCCATATTTTTAATATAGATTGGTATGTGTGTAATATATTGTGCATCTCTCTTTCTCAGTTTTGGCTTCAGTGACAAGGAGACTATAAATGGCCATGTCCCAGTGGGCCTCTACGGCAATGGATTTAAGTCTGGTTCCATGAGGTTGGGAAGGGACGCCATTGTGTTTTCCAAAAATAAAGAGTCTATGTGTGTGGGCTTGCTGTCCCAGACATATCTTGAGGCGATACAGGCTGAGAATGTCATTGTACCCATTGTCTCATTCAAACGCGTTGGACAGTCAAATATCCTTACCTTCCAAAAGAGCCCAAAAAGTAGGCATATGCACTACCTGACAAAAGTCTTGTTGATCCAACAAATAACAACTTGACTTCTAGTTGATCATTTGGAAAAGTGGCAGAAGGTAGATTTTTCCCATGAATCATCTGTTAAACTGCATTCCAATCATCGCAACTAAAGCAGAATTGGAACCGATTGGAGCTCGCATGAACCCAAAATTCTCATAGAAATTAGTCAAGTTTGGTCAAGGAAATATCATGGTTTGGGGTTACATTCAGTATGGGGGTGTGCGAGAGATTTGCAGAGTGGATGACATCATCAACAGCCTGAGGTATCAAGACATTTATTCTGCCCATTACATTACAAACCACAGGAGAGAGCAAAATCTTTAGCAGAATAGAGATTCTTTTTATACTTCAGCTTCTACATCAAAGTGCTTGAAAGCAAAGAAGGTCAAGTTGCTCCAGCACTGGCCAGCCCAGTCACCAGAGGTGAAGATTATTGAGCATGTCTGGGGTAAGATGGATTATTAAAGATTAGTCCAAATAATCTTGATGAACTCTAGAAGTCCTGAAAAAACACTTTCCTTGCCGTTCCAGATGACTTTGTTATTAAGTTATTTGAGTCATTGCAGAGATTTATGGATGCGGTCGTCCGAGCTCATGGGAGTCAAACACAATATTAATTATTTTTCCACTGCACCATGACTTTATATTCTGTACTGTACATTATTTCTGTTAAGTGGCCAGACTTTTGTCGTGAAAAGTTAGACCTTATTGTTCTAATTCAATAGTTAAAAATTAAGGCATGATCATATTTTATTTTGGTAAACTAAGCTTAATCTAGAGGCCTTTGTCTTTCATTTATGCTACTTCAGATACCAAATGATCAACTAGAAGTCAAGTTATTATTTGTTGTTCTTAAAACTTGGATGGGTGACAAGATTTTTGTCAGATAGTGTAAACAATATACCTGGAAAAAGTAAAAATTACATACTATAGCCAATAATTGTAATTTGATTTTAAATTTCACTATTTGTTGTAAAAATTGTTTTGATGTACTTTGCATATGTTCATGTTCTTAATTTGATGTCTGTATCCTTAACCATTCTTCTCACTGCTACCTGAGGCACAACACGCAGCAAGTCTCCATGATATCCTCCAGTACTCTCTGTTCCGGACAGAGGCAGAGCTGCTCTGTGAGCTCAAAGCCATCAATGCACATTATGCTAATGAGTGCACAGGAACAAGAATCATCGTCTGGAATCTCCGCAAGTGAGTATGCTGTTAATTCCTGTTTACACCAAGGATGATAACTACAACAATAATAAACAATTCAGTTTTAAAGATGGCACTAAATGTAACATAAAAGCAGACTACTACTTTCAACAATTATAACAGTAACTGCACAAAATAATAGAATTGCAGTCACTTCTAATACATTTTTTTCTGTTTTTTTCACGTTCTCATTAATGCACTAATATTTCAATGGGTGATCTGATGAATAAATAATAATTCTAAAATGCATTAGCTTTCTTTTATAATGCGATCTACCAATCAAAATATATAATAATGTTGCTTGGTAATAGATATGTTCATACAATGATGTCTTCTAGCATTAAAGTAAATGAACACACATAAAGAAATCTCTTATATATGCTACATTTTTCTATTTTATATCTATATGCTCTCTGTACTCTGTATCCCTTTTCATATTGCAACTTATCATATCATGTCAGATAGAAAAAAAAATGTTAAAGCTTACTTTGTCTTTGGCATGATTCTTCTAATCTAAATAATCTCATAATAATTTTCTATTGTATAATGTATCTATTTCTTTTCATTCATTTATTTTTAACCTTAATAATTACAGACATTAGTTTTTAATGTCAAAGAGGGTTTGCACTGAAACAAACGATTGGTAAATATGGGCTTTGGTGTGAATACACCTTTAAAAATAGTTAAAAGATGAGATTGGAGCAGTGTTTTTTAACATTGGATTCAGCTAATCCTTCATGCTCTTTAGCTAACAAGCACATGAATACATATGAAACTAATTTTTTTCTGCTACAGAACATCATCAGGAAAATCTGAGTTTGACTTTGACATAGACCGCTATGACATCCAGATTCCAGCTGAAGTATATGAGAATGAAAAAGAAAAATACAAGCAACCATGTCGCACATTTCAGTCAAGTCCAGAGAGTGACTTCTCCTTGCGGGTGAGTAAATCATGAGTAAACTCAGTTGATCTAACAGTGCACAGTCTGGAATGTTTATTCATTGGGTCTGTAATTATTTTATGTATTACAGTTTTCACATAACAGTAAAATGTGTCTATATGAATGTTATCTTTCCTAGGCGTACTGTAGCATCCTGTACTTGAAGCCCAAAATGCAGATCATCCTTCGCGGACAGAAAGTGAAGACCCAGCTGATCTCCAAAAGCCTGGCACACATTGTCAAGGATAAATACAAACCCAACTTTCTAAATGTATCCACACAAGCACAAAGAGGCTCACTTTTGATTCACAGAATGTTAATATGACAGAAAATGTAGAAAGTACAAAAAAAAGTAGAAAGTAGAGGTCAACCAAATTTTGGCAATCAAAAATGTTCAAGGGTGAAATCATTGTCTGAAACAGTTTTGTTTAATTAGCGTTTGTCTGATGCTGTATTCTGTCAATATGGATAAACTATAGGTAAACAGCTGTAAGATGCTTGGGCTGAATAAATAACCCAAAATGAAAATTTGCTGTTAATTTACTCATCAAAGATGTAGATAACTTTCTTTTATTCAGTAGATTTTCAAAGATGATTTTTAACTGAAACCACAGTCCTCTTTGTTATTTTAAATAAAAATCAGTAGTTACCATCCCTTTGAGCCAAAAAACACATAGATTAATTTATTTTCCTTTTGTTTAATCCCTGATTTATCAGAGGTTGCCACAGCAGAATGAACTACCAACTACTACCAACTATGTTGACATGAAAATAGCCTTATGCACATTTTAAATGTTTACACAACATAAAATAAATTTTCAGTTTCAGCTAAATGCATCCTGAACATTTGGTTTTGACCCAGAATTTTTATCCAAGAGCAACTTGACACAATCTGAAGGTATTCTTTTCCTTAATTCATTTCTTCTTAAAAGGAACGCATCCCCATCACATTTGGCTACAACACCAAGAGCAAAGAACATTATGGAGTCATGATGTACCATAAAAACAGGCTCATCAAAGCCTATGAACGTGTTGGATGCCAAAACAGGGTAACTATTTTAAACAATGTTTTAATTGTGTATTTATTGCATATATATACATATATATATATATATATATATATATATATATATATATATATATATATATATATATATATATATATATATATATATATATACATAGCTTTATAGTTAATTTCTTGTTCTAGTTGACTATCTAACACATTTGCAATGCTGACTTTTGATCGAAAGGCAAACGAGAAAGGAGTGGGCGTCATTGCAGTGATTGAGTGCAACTTCCTCAAGCCAACGCACAACAAGCAGGACTTTGACTACACTGAAGAGTACAGGTGAGTGTGGAACGCTATAAGGGGATTGTAATGGAATGTTTTTTTTAGTTAGGATATATATGCTTTCTGTCATTCATGTATACGTGTAGATATTCATTGCATAACCAGTATTTACAATTTAAATGCTTTTACTAATTATGAATATCTTATTTTGTGAGCTCGTTTGCTATTCAGCGTTTGATTTTTCATGAGGCAGGGAGGGTTACAAACAATACAGGTAATTACAAGAACAGCAGAACCATTAATGTTTTGTTCTCACATTGGACTGTTTGGTAATTGAATCATCAATCTCTTTTACGTTTGAATTGAGTTTTCAGCAGCACTTTTTTGTTTTCTGAAACAGGGAATCTATAATATAGCAGTCTGGGCTGTTTATTGTTTTTCAACACAGGAGAACTATAACCACACTGGGTGTGAAACTGGAAGAGTATTGGAAAGCAATCCGCCATAAGAAGGGATTTGACAACAACTTGCCTATGGAGGATATACCGTTAGTTTACGCTTACAACAGAAGTTTATTTGCCGGATTGTTTACTGAGTTTCTATATGTAAACTTTGTTTTGTTGTTTAATTTAAAGGAAGCGTCCTGATCAGAACTGGGTTCAGTGTGATGAATGTCTGAAGTGGAGGAAACTTCCAGATGGCATTGACATGAATAAACTCCCTGACAAATGGTTCTGTCGAATGAATCCAGACCCTCAGTTCAGGTTTGTTTGATCTGACTTTTCAGCATTTAGCTTTTATAAATCTCTATTGGATATCAGAATTATTTCATTCAGTTTGCATTATCTATTAATATATTTTATAAAAGGTTTGTCTATGCAAATCTTTGACATCGTAACAACAATTTCAGCTAATTGATCATTTATTTACAAACATAATGATTAAATAAGTCATTAAGTTGGTCAAAAGCGATTTATTTATTGATTAATTTCCTGAGGTTCACATGCTTATGATTGATCACTGCAGGTCCCACATCAGCTTCACATATTGCACCAATCAGATGAACACCAACTCTCTCTAAAAAACAGAGTTTTCCACTTCAGTCATCTTCGTCTTAAAGAATCCCCACTTCTACCCCTACTCCTCCCCTCCTTCAAATAGGATGGTTAGCACTGTTGCCTCACAGAATGACATACCGTCCAAAAACATACATTATAAGTAAATTGACTAATCCAAAGTGGCATCAAAATACAAACTCTTAGCCAGCTATATCTTTCAGCTATTCCTAACATGTTCACAATCGGGGAGTTCTGGAGACCTACCTGAGCTCAAACTCCCCTCTCGCCCTTAAAACAGGAGGGAGCCTGGGCTTGAGGATATTCTGAGCTCAGGGCTCTCTCCTAGGACAGCATGCCAAACACGCTTTATTATCAGTCATCAGCTAAGTGTGAACTCTTGAAGTTATGTTCTCAATCATGCAAAAATAAGTGCTTTATGGATCTTATGAATTCAGCTTATAAAAATATTAGTATCATCACATGTTTTCTGTAGCATTTCTCATCAGTGTGCAATATCCACTTTGTGTTATCGCTAAATATTAATCAGCCTTTTTCAAACAATGTGGGCACATTCAAATGTACTTTTACTGTTACTGTTTTGAACACTTAAATTAAACAATAAATTATCATGACAAATACAGTAATAGGTATGACTACAAATGTACTATTTCACCATACATTAACTTGCATTTTATAAACTAATGTAGTATCATGTTATGTGTGTACACAAATCTCTTAGTGTGCCTTAGTTTAAGCATTTAATATTTCTAATTCAGGCGATGTGAAGAAAACGAAGAAGCCGAAGATTCTGCAGACGAAGCCTCAACCTGCCTAAAAACATACAAAGAGTAGTGAGTAAAATCATTTTTACAGCTATTCACTATTGTTACCTAAATATAAATATACCCATTGATTTATTCAATATATAGTTAAGCAGTAACTTATTTCTAAAAGACTGATATGATATATCATGTTCATGTTATGTTGTAATCATTATTATTACTCACGTTTCAACTTGTAAGAAGAGTCCTCATTAAACATCTAATTACAACAAACTGCGAAATTTCAGACAGTTGAATTGTATCATGTGACTGCTGAGCCACCTGACCACAGCAGATTTATTTTCAGCATTATGTGAAGATGTCAAAGGGATCGTTCATCCAAAAATTTAAATTTACTCACTTTTTACTCACTCTCAAGTAGTTTAAAACCTTTTTGGGTTTCCTTTCTTCTGTTGAACAGAAAAGAAGATATGTTGAGGAAATCTGAAAACCTGTAACAGTTGACTTCCATAGTAAGAAATACAAATACTATGGAAGTCAATGGTTCCAGGTTTCTAGCTTTCTTTCAAAAATTTTCTTTTGCGTTCAACAGAAAAAAGAAAGTCAAGTAAAGAGTGAGTAAAAGATAACAAAATCTAAAATTTTGGGTGAACTACTCGCACACCAGATGCGGTGCTCAGTGCTGCAACACGGCGTGCAAATGACAGTTGGAAGTATTGCACACCAGACGCGCACATTTGAATGTTACATAAAATGAAACTATTCAGATTGCACTCTGTGGCACGGCAGAAATATGAACAATGTCCTAAATCGTAGCTGGGCGCTGTGAACAGTCGGCGACTTGCAGCACCAGTGTGCAAACACTGATAGAAATCTATGTTTAGAATTCTAAAATGCATGGTGCTGCGTGGCGTGGCTCATGCATTGTGTGATCCCCTTGAGGACGTGAAGAGCTACTAGTGTTCATCCTAAATCTTAAAATCATGGTAATTATGCATGACATGAACATAAGCACTAATGTTTTGTTTTTATTTTTAATGTTGACAGTGAGAGAAACCTCAAAAGACAGCAGGAACAGAAAAAAATTAAGGTAATTACATATGATGGCTTGCATGTTTCTGTCTTGTATTTGTTATCTTTTTTATAACTTAATTGGTGATTTCACTGGATTAGGCAGAAGAAACAAGGTTAAGACAGGAACAGCAGAAAAACGCAGAGCTGATCAAACAGAATGAGAGTCTGAAAAGGATGCATTCAAGCCTTGTGCGTCAGCTCCACCACAATGTAAGGCTTTTGTTTTTTTTCAATCCAAGCCCAGTGAAGCAAATATTATTCACCAATAATCAGAATAAATTTAAATCTCTCTTTACCTTTTTGTTTCCATAGCCCCCATCCTCACCCAGATCACCTACAGTCTCTTGGCAAGCGATGAGCCCTCACAATTCACAAACTGGTGAGGCCACATTTTGTGCATATTTGTTTTTCTACCAAACCTAAATTATCCAAGGCTCCAGTCCAGACTGGCAAACAGTAATGTGAAATCAAGAGTTCTGTGATGCAAACCACGAATATCTAGGGCTAGTTTTAAAGCAATATGAAACAGTGCTAACAATATCTATAGCATAGATATATAATTTTATTGTGGCAGAAATGTGGGATGTTCACATCAAATTTGATTGTATTATTATTATATTAACACTTCGCAATAGTCTGTTCCATTAGTTCATGTTAGGTACTACAAGTTGGAACTATGAATAAACAGAACTAGTAAGCATTTATTAATCAAAGTTCAACATTTACTTAACATTTATTGATATCCAACACTGTTATTGTTAACATTAATTAACGCACTGTGAAATAACATGAACTAACAATGAACTTTATTTTCTTTAACATTAACAAAGATGAATAAATACTTTAAGAAAGGTTTATTTAATCTTAATTAAATTTGTTTATGCTAATAAATACATTAACTAACATAATGAAACATCGTTGTATAGTGTTAGTAATTAAATAAAATAATTAGCCGTGTGTGTGTGTGTGTGTGTGTGTGTGTGTGTGTGTGTGTGTGTGTGTGTGTGTGTGTGTGTGTGTGTGTGTGTGTGTGTGTGTCATTGAATAACTTGTTCGTATCAGTAGTTTGAAATAAATGTAATTAAGTATTAAATATTTTGTGTTTTGATAAATCACATAAATTTTTACCTAATTTCAAAATGTGCCCATGTTGTATTAATCATTTGTGTTTTATTTTTCAATTAAAGTAAATGAAAAAATATGCCTTTGCAAGTAGCAATAATAAAATAGATTTAGGTTATATTTTCAGTTGCATTTAGTTTATTTTAAGTAACAAAAACATTTTGAATTCTATATTTTTGGTTTAGTTAACTGTTATAATCCAGTTGTATTCTTTATTAGGCATGTCCCGAACAGGTTTTTTTTTTACCTCCGAGTCATTTGATTTTGAGTATCTACCGATACCAAAACCTGATCCGATACTTCTAAAATACATAAAAAAGAATAAAGAAGACCGAAGAAACAGATCCAGGATGTTCCTTGTTTTTTATTTAATTCACCTTATTTTTACATTCCGCAAACAGAGCACTTCTGTGAGATTTGTTTTTGAGGTACTCTATTAGGTTTATTGTGTTAATTGTAGCCTTTGAATTTCCCCCTCTTGCAATCCCAGGTTTACACATCTCACAGTTTGCTATGGCAATGTTGTCGTCGTCAACTTTATAATACCTCAAGCTGCTTCCATGTTGTACTTTGCCAGCATTTACCCAATAGTGTCTCTGCAACAAAGTGATGTCATGCCGCAAGTGTTGCTGTTTCTGTGTGAAGTCATGCCACCTCATAACTGTAGATGTGTATATACATATATATTTGATTCCTGATCGTTAGGTAACGTCCGATTCTGATCGAGTCGGATATCGCGCGATCGAAACAGGACATTCCTATTCTTATTGTCTTTAGACTACTCTTTTTCCATTAGAAATTCAATATAATATATTTACCGGAGTTTTGAGCTGCATTACCTGTGGTTTTTATGATCTACAAATGTATTTAAAATTACTTTGTCACAGTTTTTACAGATTTTACTGTAAACCAAAGTGATTTATCATGTTACTTTACTTTTTTACAGCCTCTAGCCCCTCAGACAACATGCCAGTGATTTCAAATGTCTGTTCACTCTCCACTCCCAAACGGTGCATTATTTTTTTTCTTCTGTTCTTTAAATAAGTTACATCTTTATTAATAATCATTTTTGCAGGAAATATAATTGAAATCCTTGCTTCTGTAGGGTGAAAAGACCTTTAAGTCTGTCCCAGAGCCAAACAGCAAAAAGAGCAAGACCACACGATGACTACTCGGTCAACACACCAGGAAGTCCATCAATATCTGCAGCTGCATTAGATGTCAGAACTTCACCAGGGAATGCAAACAACAATGTCAATATCAGTGATGACAGCAGTGAGGATGATGACATTGTTATTGATGAGGTCCACAGCACACCGAGACCAAAACCATCCACCTTTGACCTCTCAAAGGTGAAGACAGAAGAAAACAACAGTGACAATGCAATAGAGTTATTCATGGAGTGCAGCGATCAAGCTTTGGTGGACACTGAAACTGAAGACACCACAAAGGGGCCATCGACTTCAGAAGGACAAACCAACACAACGACCCAAACAGAGTGCTTGAGTATAAAGAAAGAGGAAGACCAGCAGATGCAAAAGAAAGAAACTGAGATCAAGGAGGAGAACAAAAATGATCCAAGAGCAATAAAACAAAGCCCTGGTGAAGTGGAAGGTGGAATAATCAAAGAGTCTATGGAAGTAAACACATGCAGTAGTTCAGAAGTTTCCAGAACAAATCTAGATGGTATACCTAAGGAAAACTCACTCAGTTTGGAACAACAGACAAAGTCAGATGTTCTAAACCAGGGAAGTAGGCAATCGCCTAGCACTTCGCTTTTTCCTAACATAGAAATAGATCTTTTGCCAACCAGTGAAGCCCAGAAACAACAGGATAACCTGCTAGAAATCCTGGAGGCCACAGCTCAGGAAAGAGATAAGTTCAAAGAGAAAGTTCTGGAGAAAGAAATTCAACTCTTGAAACTGAGCATAAAGAAAGACCACAGCCATCAGTGCATCCAGACAGATCCGTCAGAGGACTATAAGACGCTTTATTTACAGGCCAATCAGAGCATCCAAAAGCTTACAGAAGAGAGAGATGAGTTGAAAAGGAAAGAGGAGGCCTTGCTTAAAGGCAAAGCTGAGAAAGAGGCGCAGGACGAGGTGTGTCGTGAGCGATTGAAAGCTGAGAGTGAGGGACACTCATCAACAGCAAATGCATTTGTAGATGCAGATGATGAAATGGCTCTTCAGGTGGACTTTCTTCTGAGTGAGCTGGACACACGCAACGCTGAATGCCAAGAGCTAAAGTGTAAAGTAAGGTTTTTTTTGCTGCCTAAATTCTACAATTTACCAGCATGTATTTACAGAGTATTTATTTTGTTAGCGATGATTTGCCTGCAGTTTATTTTTGTTCATCATTTACTAGTTTACTCAGTTTGTTCCAAACTTTATGACTTCAATGTAGATAGAACTTATAATGTAGAAAGAAGTGGGGTCTGTTTTGTCCAAGAAATGCTGTTTCATACATCAAATTAGGGCTGCACGATACTGGAAAAATCTAACATGCCGATATTTTATTTTGCTGCGGTTTATATTGCGATATGAATACAATTTTAGCAGAAGATTTGAATAGCTCTATTTGGAATAAAATCATTAACTTTGATTGTAATAATCTTGTAGAGGAGTGAATCAAAGATATTGCAAGAATAAATAAATAAGATAGAGCTTGGAGAAATGTGAAATAAGTAGTCAGATATTCAGCTGAAGTAATACGATACGATATTATCATATTTTGCCCCAAAAATGATAGATCACGATAACAGCGATATATCACAAGACCATCCACAATATATCACGATTTTTGTAAATGAAGTGTAAAAATGCATCATAAAGTTTTAAGATGTACAGTATTTTTTATTAACTGCACATATATTTCAACATTGTAACATTGACATATGTTCGATCTTCCATTACGAGAAGCGCCACCTAATGCATATCACTATTTTGTCCTGCCCCTATTATTGAATAATCAAATGTAATGTAAAATGTAAAGACTGCATTCTTCATTGCTGATCAACAATGACATTCAAACTCCACATTGCAGATGCTTTGATGTGACTATTGCAAATGCACACATTGCGATATCGCTGCTGAAACAATATATTGTGCAGCCCTACGTCAGATACATTGATATATGTGAGATTTCTTTCCTAAATGTTTGCATTCACTGAAATCTAGTAATAACAGCAGAATATTATCACTTGTTGCATCCCAAATGACACCGATGTGCTAATACACATAGGATGTCTATGGGGTCTTAAAAAGTATTAAAAGTTGATCAATCAATTTAGAGATATTTGAGGCCCTTAAAAGGTATTAAAATGCTATTTTACAAGGTATTACATTTTTGTCAATTTTTGATTTCTCTCTGCCAGGAATTGGCATCATTGTCCCTGTTGGAGAATTTTGCTTTTCCACATTTCTGTCATATTTAATTTCCTACCTTATTGAAGAAGCAGCAGCAGGATAATCTGCTATTCGCAAGTCTTTTATGCAGAGAAACTTTCTCAGGTCTTTGGATAATTCTGCATTCAGACGTTAATGTTCAAACATGTCTTTGTATAAGTCAGTTTTGTTGCTGCAGATGAAATATAACACAGAAAATGTGATTTAAATATTTACCAGTTGGCCAGATAGTGATTAACAGTCATTCAAACAACTTGACGGTTGGTCTCGCCATCATGTTTGTAGTTTATTTACACTTTTCACCCGTGTTTGTAGTTCTAATCGAATTCACGATATCAGCGGTTAGAGTATGGGCGGTTCTTCACTTAAAATTTTACTGGAAATAGTAAATTCAAATAATTTGGGACATGCTAATTTTTTTTTCAAATACTATTTAGGACGGATGGTATGAGAATTGGGATGCAGTGATAGTAAACCAACCAGATAGCCCCTCCAGATAGCCCCTCCCCTTCTGCTACATAAGCAAAGCAGCCAGCAATCATTTAGTGCTTGTGTTCAACATTACATACTTCTTTTAATCAATTGAATCAGTGCATCATCTGGGTATTTAAAGTGCACTTAATCTTTTCAGAATTTTTTATGTGAATGCACTACTTCCACTATTTATATTACAAAATGGTGTAGTGCATAATAGTGCTTTTTGGGATGCACCCACTGTCTCTCTGACAGTAAAAAAGGACTCAAATACAGTCGATGAAAGCTCAACTGTATACACAAGAAAAAGACTTATTTTTGTCTCAAAACTTGAGAAGGCTGAGCTCAGATTTGCTATGTATGTGCATTGATTAATGTTTAAATGTGAATAAAAGTCTAAATTAAATCAGAAGATTTTAATTAAAATGAGAGTTTAGTTGCCAAAACAACACTCTTTCCTTTTTCATATGCATCAGACACTTCCTTATAAACACTTTGTAGTTTTAGAAAAACATTGTGCAATCCTGATAGTGCTTCCTGGAGTTGAGTGGCCTTGAAAAGCCATTTGTAGGACACACTCTCCTCTCCAAATGCACCAGCCACTTTCATAGAAAAACTTTAGCTGCGTCCCAAATGGCACACTATACACCATGCACTGTACCTGTGCACTTACACACTCAACAGCATAGTATATGAATGTAGTGTCATCCCAAATGGAACGCTAATGTTTTTTTTAATAAGCAGCAATTAAATCCGTTTCCCAGATGACATTCGAAGGTTGCCAAATTAGTGAAATAAATGACCAAACTACCAAATAATACCTGCTATGAGTATAACCGCATTCACCATAGGGAGGCGGTATAATCACTCTCGTAGGAGAATTTTCCTTTAACAATCCAAAATAAATAAAGTAGTCCAACATCAGCGCCTGAAAGCTCCACCCCTTCTGCTACATGAGCAAAGCAGCAGCTGTTGAGTGCGTGAAGTGTCCAATATTACACAATTCATTTTAATGGTTGAATAAGTGCATCATCCGGGTATTTAAAGTGCACTTATTACTTAAGTATTTTCGGAGGGAATGCACTTTGTCCACTATTTATACCACAAAAATGGTTAGAATAGTTCATAAGTATGCGATTTGGTATAGACCTTTTATTTTTAACATCTTTTTGAAACATTTAAGTTTTGGTTGCATGATCTTTCAGGTAATGAAAATTATACTGGTGAAAGTGGTCAACCATTCGGCTAGTAAAAAGTAGCCTAGGTCACTATAACTACTCTTTTCTGCAGGGATGTCCATTATTTCATCATTCAGGCTTAAACTGATTGGCTTTTTTCTTTCTTTTGTTCTTCTAAACTCACAAACTCATTTGGATATTCAAAGTTGGAAAGCCTGGAGCAGGAGAAAGCGAGCTACAAGCAGCTGGAGAAGGAAGTCGAAGAGCTCAGAAAACAGAAAGAGCAATGGAGCAAAGCAAATGGAGATAAAAACACCAGTGCAACACAGACATGCAGCGCTAGCACAGCTGCAGTCCTTGTGAATGGCATCAAAAATGATGGAGAAAGCACTGAAAGACCTGCTGAAGGACAGAACACTGGGACACCAGCCAAGTAAGACCCCTTTTGAGTTATTTGAGAGATTCTGTGCTTAAAGAAGTCACAATCTAATTCACACATATGTAAATCTCTCTTGTGTTCTTAGGCTGAGGGAGCTGAGAAGCAACGTTGCCCGTTTGTTGGTGACTTTTGTTCCTGCACTGGACCTCGACCAAGTGAACTATGACTGTGAAGTCATAGATGAAATTTTAAATCAAGTCATACAGGAGATTTCCCCTTCTGAGACCAGTTTTACTTAAAGCCAGCAGCTAAAGTGTTCAGCCTTTTGTGGGGGTTTTTTGCATGGAGACAAAATGTTCGAATGTCAAATGCACTTTGAAAATGTTCAAATTTGTTTTATTTATTTATGACTTTACATCCTGATTAACAATTGCAGTTCATTGTGCCTGTTTTACATGCATTTTTACATAATTCCATTCTCTTGGTATTTGGAATACAAGGTTGTCAAGAGTAGTATTTGAACTTTCTGCCACAAATATGTAAGTTATCAATTATATGTCATTTTGTATGTCAGGTGTTTTGTTATGTTTCTCATGTGCAGTTGTGTGTATTTTTAATACACAATATTTTTGATACCCAATACACAAATGGCAGTGAATAATAGCCATTTGATTAGGGGCTTACATTGTGTACAGGCAGTTGTGTATAAAGTTGTACATATTACCGTTTTTGAAAAGAGGGTTTAATATAAAATAAAATTCACATTTGTTTGATTAAAAAAATATTTTCTGTGTTTTTGTTTATTGGTTATATGGATGACCAACACACTAGGAACACTAGGAGGTTTTACCTCCTTTTGTCTTCGGAACTGCATTAATCCTTTGTGGCTTAGATTCAACAAGGTACTGGAAATATTCCTCAGAGATTTTAGTCCATAATGACATGAAATCATCACACAGTTGCTGCAGCATGGGTTTGAGATCTGATGACTGTGTGGAGGCCATTTGAGTACAGTGAACTCATTGTCAAGAATCCAGTCTGAGATGATTTGCGCTTAATGACATGGCGTGTTATCCTGCTGGAAGTAGCCATCAGAAGATGGGTACACTGTGGTCATAAAGGGATGGACATGGTCAGCAACAATTTGCAGGTAGGCTGTGGCATCGACACAATGCTCAATTGGTACTAATGGGCCCAAAGTGTGCCAAAATATCCCCCAAATCATTACACCACCATTACCAGCCTAACCACTGATAGAAGGAAGGATGGATCCATGCTTTCATGTTGTTGATGCCAAATTCTGAGCCTACCATCTGAATGGCTCAACAGACATCGAGACTCATCAGACCAGGCAACGTTTTTCCAATCTTCTATTGGCCAATTTTGGTGAGCCTGTGTGAATTGTAGCCATAGTTTCTTGTTCTTAGTTGACAGGAGTGGCACCCAGCGTGGTCTCCTGCTGCTGTATCTCATCAAGGTTGGACGTGTTTTCTGTGTTCAAAGATGCTCTTCTGCATACCTTGGTTGTAACGAGTGATTATTTGAGTTACTGTTGCCTTTCTATCAGCTGGAACCAGTCTGGGGTGGGTTTTTTAAAACCATCGTAAGCCAACCAAGGTTGCAAGTTCCGTTGTTACAAATATGGTTCGTTGATTTGACGTTTTCCAAATCCATCGTTCCAACGAACATTCGCAAACTGCGTCACAAACTTGTGCACTTGTAACTACACCTCTGGAGCTTGAGTTAGAAACATATTTCCTGGCTATGTTCTATTCCCACTTATCTCCCTATGCCCAATCCATTAAGAACATTTAAACTTGGAATGATTTTTTAAAATAAAGCATCAAAGTCATCACTTTTAGGTGTAATTTGCTTTCAAAGTTTTTTTTACAGTTCAGTTTTAGCAATCTTCTTTAGCACCCTTCGCAGTGCATTTTGAAAACATTGATGCCATTTGGAACTCAGTCGTGGCTCTTGGCGAAAGCTATAGGTGACCTATTATTGAAAAGTGGAATTTATTTTACGTTTCCAAAGCTTGTGAAAACAAAAAAACATAGCATACATTAATGCTTGTAATATATAGTAGGTTATTTATTAAGTAGCTTATCTGTAGCCTACTCATAGTAGGCTACTGCATATGACATAGGCCTGTTGGTTAGCACATTTCTGAAGTGGTATACATGTCAAATTGAAAAAGTAGACTTTTTACAAAAATGAACAATATCCTACTTCAATAATAATAATCGTCATCATTAATATTATTATTAAAGTAGGATTTTTTTTCTTTCCTAATGAATAATAAATATAAAATTTTATTTATTAATAAATAGCCTCATTATTTATTTATGTACATGATTTATCAGATTAGAATATGTGTTAGCTTTTGTAAGTGATTTTATGTTTTAGAATAGAACATGTAATGTTCTTAATAATATCTGTAAAGGAAACTTAGGCCCTATATGTGTCATGTACATATATTTCGGATTATATGGAAAACGAGTGCTTGTTTTTACCAAAACTAATATTGGATTTTTTCTAAATGCGTGTTTGTGTAAAACAATATAATTTGCACAAAGAAATTATGGGTGTCTTCTCTAAAGAAGTAGTTACTCCACTCCGTTTAGAGCATCATTGTGGGTGTTTTACATTATAACTAATGTGATTCAAGCGATGAATCAGCAACAGAAAAACTACAGGTTTTGGGAAAAACTCGTCACTACATCGTTCTTCTCCCAAACAATACATCATACTATGATAGCTCAGCCACGAATTACATTGTTGTTCAGGAAACGCACCACTGGTCATTCTTCGTTGACCTCTGGCAATAACAAGGCATTTGCGCCCACAGAACTGCTGCTCACTGCTGGATATTTTCTCTTTTTCAGATAATTCTCTGTAAACACTTGAGATGGTTGGGCATGAAAATCCCAGTAGATAAGCAGTTTCTGAAATACTCAGACCAGCCCGTCTGGTACCAACATCCATGCCTCATTTAAAGTCACCTAAATCACCTTTCTTCTCCCAAATATTTTACATGGAATTTCATAGAAATGTTATCCCACCTTTACAGACAGTTAACAAAACATTTTAGACAACACAATAACATTTTTCTTTTACTTCAGAAATGTTAAGAAATCAGTATTTGGTGCAATAGCTTAATTCAATTAATTAATCAATTAATTGAATTTATTCAATTATTCAATTTCAATTACTTAAATCACAATAAAAAAAAACATTTGTTATATATACAAATTGTAATTTACTGCAAGACAAAGATTGTTTTGTCTTCAAAATTGGTATAGATTTGATTACACCTTTACATAGTACAAAATATTTTAACGTTATCTAAAATCATAACTAGCAAATTCAGATAACCTGCAAATTTTCAAAGGGTCTCTTAACTTTTTCCAATGCTGTAAATATTTTAGGTTGCCAAATACTGGTCACAAAACTATATTGTTGGCACTTTTCAGAACATCGACATGTGCTTTTCAAGTGGATGTTGAAAACGCCACAGCCCAACGGCGGATTTGTGATGAGGGATTTGGCAACCCGTGAAACAGGAAGTTGTCATTGTCAGAAAGCTGCGCGGGAAAGACGTCTGTTTGGGTGAAAGCGGGACTTGTTCACGAAGTAACTAAAACATTTTTGTTCCGACTGTCGCAGCTTCGATTGACGAAGTAACCGGTATGTAATTACAATATATTTTGCGTCTGTTATTGACCGTCGTTATGTTTGTTACTTACTTATATATCTCTTCGAGAACAGCTGTGATGTACTTAACGTTTGTTTATTGTTCCAAATTCCGCGTTAACAGTTCGTAAAACAAGTATTTAACGATACCAAAACACTGCAATGTTGGTATATTTCACTAAATACGCTGTAATAATGGTTCTCGCCAGATACATATTTGTGTTTGTAGTTTATGGACTTGTTTCAGATGTGTGCAGTGTTGGTTTTGTTTACTGTAACGTTATTTGTTTTCAGCCTCACTGATAGCTTAGTATAGAGACCGTGTGTTACTGTGCTGTGGTGAAGCTGTTCAATAGTTTTTTTATGTTAGTTTTTCCCAAGTGTATGCCCTCTGTCAAACTATCGTCTTCTGCGGTCTATTATTTCTCTCATATTCCCCCTTCCTTCATTTTCATTATGTATTATATTAATATTTCATGTCGTCATATCCTTGCCCATCAGGTGCCAGGATGAAGGTTGTAACCTGTGAGATTGCCTGGCATAATAAGGAGCCAGTGTACAGTCTGGACTTTCAACAGAGCGGTGATGGAAAAACACAGCGTCTGGCCACTGCTGGAGTGGACACCACAGTCCGGGTAAGAGAGAGAGAAAAAACCTCTGCTTAGATTTATTGGCATACATCACAAGTGCCTCCTAAATTAATACAATTGAGATATCATATGAAACCTTGAGACGAAGAACCATATAATCTATATTTTCACATTTTAAGTAATACTATTTTCTTCATTTGGACTGTGAACATTATATTATATATTTTTATTTTACTTGAAGATAGACGACAAAAGCTCCTTGACTCTGAGGAGATAACATTGTTCAGTGTTAGTATTAAAAATAAAGTATTATTGTGATTTACAATCTCAAAAGCGGAAGAACGGTATATGTCCAGTTACTAGTGTGGAAAAACAGTTTAACTCATCACTTGAAAAACACTAAAGATCTGATTCGTTTATCTTAGTTTTAATGCCGTAACAAAAGCTTCAGATTCATATTTTCAAGTTTATTATTATCAAAAAGAAGCTGAAAATAAAGCATGAAGAATGTACAAGACATAGTCCTTCTTACAGTACAGACAATAATCAATTATCACATAGCTAAATATTATAACATTACTAAATGTTGTAGTTTATTTAGACAAGCAGTGCACCTGTGTATATATTACTTCAAACTGATATAAATGAATGCATAAACTCTGCTTGCCATAGTTTACACAGAACTAGCAGGAAATATGCATTAATACAGCTTTATTATACATGGTATGTGGTTTATTTGATAGGTTAACTGTTTTTGTTCTGTTTAGCGCTCCTCAGCATGTTTAGTAGGAGAGAGGGAGAGGGATCAAATCACATATACAGTTCTTCCACTCACCTTCATCTTCCATCGATTCAAATATACTTTCCCAGCATCCCTCAAAGCTATCCTGACTCTGCGCCTACTTACGCTTTCCTTTTTTTGCTGAGGATTTGTCTTTTAATGTTTGAAGCTGACATGACAGCTTGGGTCATCTTCGTTCTTAGACATCTTCTTAAAAGACAACGTTTTTTTTACTCGTGAAGCTATTTTAACATTTAAAATGGAGACTGTGGCTGCAAACTTTCTGTATGCAAAGTTCACACATACAATTAATGTCACATGGTTATCTCATTTTTATTTTTTCTGGACTTGTACTGATGTTCATCGCACGCACTCATATAGTAAGATGAGATCTGCTCTCATTTTCAGATGTGGCGTGTGGATAAAGGGCCTGATGGGAAAGCGGTCGTTGAGTTTTTGTCTAACTTGGCACGACACACGAAAGCAGTGAATGTAGTGCGTTTCTCACCCACTGCTGAAGTGTTGGCTTCTGGGGGAGATGGTGAGCTAAAAGTCATTCCAATACTTGGCTGAAATTGTGTATGGAGGCTGTAAAAAGTTAAATGTAGTGTCTTATTCTTAAGATGCGGCCATCTTGCTTTGGAAGCTGAATGACAATAAGGAGCCTGAACAAACTCCGACCTTTCAGGAAGAGGAAGATGCTCAACTTA